AAAGACACGAGGCTGCCGGGTTCCCTCAAAGCACTCCCTTTGGCGCTGAGCACACTCACCTCGTTGTTACTGCCGATTTCTTCTGTTGTGCTGCCCCAACGGCTTTGATGCCCCAACGGCCTTGATGTCCGGATTGACCAAAGATATTTACCTTTCATTGTCGTCCTGTCTTTGGGGAAGAGCCAGAGGCCATCAACGAAAACACATCACATTTTTGGAGCTTGCTTTTCTGTGGGATGGCGCCCGGCAGGAGCATTCATTGGAGTTTTTATTTATTATTGATTTATTTATTGTCTTGTTGAGCCAGGGTCTCGCTGTGCAGTTCAGGCTGGCCTTGAGCTCACCTTGTAGCCCAGGTTGGTCTCGAGCTCTCAACAATCCTCCTGCCTCAGCCTCCCAAGTGCTGGCATTGGAGATTTGCTTTTTAATTTTAACTATTTAAAATTTTTAACATTGTTTTTTGGCACCAGGGTTCGAACTCACTACCTTGCCCTTGCCAGGCTCTAGTTCCTGCTGAGCTAAATCCCCTGGAGATTTAAAATCATAGCTCCTGAGGACACTCCGCAAGGCAGAGGAGGGCAGGGTGCTAGGGCATCCGTCAGTCAGAGCCAGGGGAGCGGCTAAACCCAGGGGCAGCTCCCTCCTTCGGACAGGTGCCCGCCTGGTCCAGCGTGGCAGGCGGTGGGGACAGGGACACAGGATTCTCTTGCTGATCCTGAAGTCTCCCGTGGAAACAGAAGCTCATGGATTTATTCCTGCAGGCTGCACCATAAAAACTGTCAGGCTCGGCGCAGGTTCCACGAGGGAGCTTCCGTCCGTCCCCAGCCTCTCAAGTGAGATCACACCGTGGGCCCCTCTACGGCCAGCGCTGCCTCCACTCGGGTGCCTTCTGGACCCTGTGGATCATCTCTCAGAGTTTCCCAGCAGCCCTGCAAGGCCGGGATTCTTTTCCCATTGCAGAGCTGGGCAAGCTGAGGCTAGAGGGAAAAGCATGGTGGGTGACGGGATCCTTGTAAAAGGCAGGCAGGTTCACGGTAGCAGCGTTTTGAGGCTCAATTTCTTTGTCCATAAAATAACAACATATACTTATATACTTGGTATTGTAGAGGTTAAAAATATTGCGCTAAACTGGGCACGATGGCGCATGCCTGCAACCCCAGCACTCAGGAGGCTGAGGCAGGGGGATCCTTAAGACCAGCCTGATCTACAAAGCGCAGAGCCAGTCTGAACTGCATAGCGAGACCCTGTCTCAAAGAGACTCAATAAATAAATAAAGAGCTGGAAGCTCCTAACCTAGGGCCTGAGTCGCGCCCCAACATTTTGCAAACGGCCTTCGCTGATGCAGTGAGCAGTGCGCCCCCTGGCGGTGAGAAGCCGGACTGCGCCAGAATCCAGGTCCCCACTTTTCCACCGCAGACAGCTGAGGGCCGGAGATTCTGGGGTCACCGGAGGGGCCGGAGGTAGAGGTCGTTGATGGGAACTGAGATCCACCGAGCGTGCAGTCATTCTATGCAGCAATTGAAAGAGTATTCTGAGACGTCCTTGGAACAGCGAACTTTGGTCCTTGGTCCTCAGCGGCGTTTCAGGGTCCCCGTGGGTGGACCTGGGTCACTGACACCTTGACGGGCCTGGCCCTGGGGTGTGGCCCCCGCTTGCTCTTTGGCCCGCGTGTGCACACCAATGGCTCCAGGCTCTGTAAATGCCTTGCAGGAGTCAGGCCGATTTCTGGGAAGCAGAGTTCCACGCAGAGAATTTCCCTTGGGAAAACTGAACTGTTCCCCAGAACTGCTCCCGAGACAGGCTCCCCTCCTCCTTCGGATTCCTTCATTCTAGCCCAAGTTCAGCCCACGGCCCGGTTGCACAGTGGGCTACATCACAGGGACAGGTGACCTATCCAGACCAGCTCACAGGTCCTTGGGAGAAGAAAGTCTTTCCACTGGTGAATGTGTCACCGTGGGTTTCCCTGTTTTTCCAATCACTGCGTATTTTCAAATTTCTGGCCCTTACAATCAGTGCCAATAGCATGCATTTGTCTTACGTGCCTTTCTCTGGTGGACCCAAACGGTGCAGGGGGCTGTCCAGCCCTGGGAGACGCGGCCACTTTTTTGTGTGTGTGATACTGAGAATTGATCCCCAGGCCCTCGCACTGAGCTACGCTCCTGGACCTTGTTTGTTTATTAATCAGCAGAGTTTCTCTAAATCCCTGAAGTTGCTCAGGCTGGGCTTGGACCTGCCATTCTCCTGCCTCAGCTTCCCAGAGTGCTGGGGTCGAGCCCCACTGTGCCCGGCGCCACCCGAGTTTGCCAAGGAGTTGTGTGAACTGTGTCCTGCAACTGGGTGTTCTGGTCCTCATCGCCTGTTTCCCTGCTGACACTTGGCCATGTCTGCCTGGGAGCAAAAACCACAGCCGCACCCAGCAGAAGCTCTCGGATGTGACAGTGAACACGGCCAGTGCTGCAAGAAGCCCTGGTCTGTAGGGGTTCAGAGCAGGCAGGACTCGTGGGGTGCTGGGGCCAGCGGCACGCGGGCTGATTCTGGGGTGCTCTGAACGTGCGGTTTCTGAAACTGGGTGCTGGCTACACAGCCGATTGATCCTCTTCCCAGAGGGGATCCCCTTCCGGGCCGTGCACTTGGGGTCCCTGCGCTTTCCCACGCCTCACACCCCGTTACGGCGCCATGGTAGAAGCTGGGACCTTGTGCACGCCAGGCAGGTGCTCAGCCCGTGAGACCAAATGACCACACGTTTCACGCATGTCCTTGCTCTGGTCCTCCGCACCCTCCTGCTGCTGTGCGCTTCACAGCCCTTGGTCGGGCACCTGGGACAGGGCGAGGTGGCCCCTCTGGTCCCCAGATGAGAGGAGGTGCTGTGCCCTCTGCCCCTCCACCTGCTGTTTTCAAATTTGTGATAAAATATATACAACATAAAATTGACCGTTGTAAGCTCTGGAAAGAGGCACCAGAACTCTGCACAGCGGACTCCGCCATCGGTCATCAGAACCTTCCACACCCCCAGACTGAAACCCCAGGCCCGTTAAACACTCAATGGAGAGTGCTTGCTTTTATGTTTTTCTCTTTTTTATGGTCTTTGCAGGGCCTGGCCAAGCCTATTTCCCTTTGATAAGAAACAGCACACCCTGGGAGGCTGAGGCAGGAGGATTGCTGTAACTCTGAGGCCAGCGTAGCCTATACAGTGAGTTGAAGGCCAGTCTGAACTAGATAGCAAGGCCCTGCTTCAAAAACCCAAAAATGAAACAAGCAAACAAAAGCACACGTGTGCTGCAAGAAGTGGCCAGCGTGCCCCAGTTTCCTTTAATGAACAAAAACTGTGGAATATAATTTAAGCCTGTGTCACTCCTTGGGCTGGTAAATTCTCTACATTCAGTGCTGACATGTTATCCAGAATGTAGCTGAGTCCAAAATCTGTTTGTTGACTGACTGAAGCATTAATATTGAGGTGGGTTTGTGATCAGTATAGGAATCCAAGCAGCCAAATTGACAAATTTTGGGATTTTACTGACTGAGCTCAGTGACCACCCGCAAAGATCCCTGTTTCAGAATCAGATCGAGTGGCCCCGAACTGGAGGGTTACAGAATTTTTTAAAGGAGAAAACTGCAAAGCAAGACATCCTGTTGGAAACAATTTAGCTAGAATCTTACGTTAATTTTGGTTGACACCGGTATCTCGCTTCTTTTGTTGGGCAGGTTAATTTTTCTCTTGTGGGTGCAGCCTGTTCTGTTTTTCTCATGAGACTTGTACCCTGAGTAATTTTTCACTCTTCTAGGTCAACTACAGGGCACAAGATGGCATCAGTTATGCCAAGTTGCAACACTGTCTCTTCTAGCTGCTTTGAAGCTCAGTGACTCGTATGCTTCATTTTTATTTTTTTTTTTCTGGTACCGGGGATCAAACTCACGACCTTGTGCTTGCCAGGCAGGCACTTGTGCCACTGAGTTAAATTCCAGACCCTACTTCCTATGTATTTTGCAATAGCTTCTCATGTCAGTGAACTCAACGGTGATTTCTGACCAATTTTTTTACTTTTATTGAAATAAAACTATGTTTGCTTTCTGATTTTCTTTTGAAGCAGAGTCTCACTTTGTAGTGCAGGCTGGCCTTGAGCTCACTATGGAGCCCTGGCTGGCCTAGAACTTACGGCAGTCCTCCTGCCTCAGCCTCCCAAGTGCTGGGATTATAGGTGTGTGCCACCTTGCCTGGCATTTTTTGAGATTTTTTTTTTTTTTTTGAGACAAGGTCTTGCTATGCAGTTCAGGCTGGCCTTGAGCTCACTTTGTAGCCCAGGTTGGTCTAGAACTTGCAATGATCCTGCTGCCTAAAACCTTCTCAAGTGCTGGGATTACAGGAGTGTGCCACCATGCCTGGAATGTTCTGACTTTTTGAAAACACATGTGTATTCTTCTTTATATTTTTTTATGATCCTTGTGCCTCAGCCTCCCAAGTAATTAGGATTACAGGTGTGTATCACCACGCTTGGCTACATATGTACTCTTAAAAAAAGGTCAGACACTATAGAAAGCGAAAACGGGCTTTTTAAGGCTTTTTAGGATGCTCTCTCAGGATTCACTGTCCATGGGGAGCAGGACTGGAGAACCAACGTCCAAACCGAGGCTCATCCCCAGGTCCGGAGTGCACGTGCCCCATCAGTGCCACGCTTCTGGATCCTCGGTCCCGTGGCTCTGAGACACAGAGGCCCCAGGGAGGCCACGCCCGATTCCCATCAGGGCCGCTTTCAGGCATGGAGCAGTTTTCTAGCTATTGATTTCTCACGGGGACTTGGGTGCCATAAGGAAGCTGTCAACTGAAACTGTTTTTCTCCAGGGTACTGAGCTAAGTCTCCTATCGGGGGCAGCGGGCAGCCCGGGCAAGGCTGAAACAGGTGGAGACCGATGGGCGGGGCCTGCCCCGGGATTGGCTGTCGCCCAGCTGGCTTTCTGGGAGATGGCCCTTTATAGACCAAGGTGCCCGGAGAGGCTGGCAACTGCCGGCAGCCACAGCAGCGTCCCCTCCCCGGGACTTCTGGGTCTGAGCCTGAGGGCTTCCGGCTAACAGGGAGCATTGCCCCACACAAGACCCTTGGGCTGGAGGTCCCACCCCAGGGCGTCCCCAGAGGAGGGCGACTTCCAAAGCTCCAGGTAGGCAAAATGCCACCCTTTTCTTCCGGGCTGGAGTGGGCCAGTATCTTGGGGTCCTGAAAGGAGAATCAACCCAGGACTCGGACCCTGATCCCAGACCCCCAGTTTTGCCGTTAGCTGCCAGCCTTTCCCTGGGCCTCAGTTTCCCTGTCTCTAGAGTGGGGTTCAGTGGTGTGATTCCCAACCGGATGCCACTGGAACAGCTCAGAGCCACCGTGGGTTTAAAGACCCTTGATCTCAAGTCCAGTACTGTTCTGACACCCCGAGCAAGCAGTCCCACTTCCTTGGGCCCCAGGTTCTTCATGGTCCGTGGGGGCAGCATTCTTTTTTTTTTTCTTTTTTCTTTTTTTGAGACAGGGTCCCACTACAGGGTCTGGAGGATTGCAGGTGTGACCCACCACGCCCGGCTCAGGGGCAGCATTGTTTACTGCACTCACTGGGCACAGCTGGACTCGAAGTGGGCAGGGCGGGGCTGTGCATTAGACTTGCTGTTTTTACCTGTGTTATTATTACCTGTGGTTGTTAAGCCTCTGTGATCTCTGAGGTCCCTGGAAGTTGGTTGAGGACAGGAAGGTTGTCCACTGCCTGGTGTGGTGGCTCATGACTGTAATCCCAGCACTCGGGAGGCTGAGGCAGGAGGATTGGCGTGAGTTTGAGAACAGCCTGGGCTACACAGTGAGTTCAAAGCCAGCCTAAATTGTCTCAAAAAATTAAATTAAATTAAATTAAATGTAAAAAGAGCTCTGGTTCCTGCTGGGGACCCAGCGGGCAGGGCTGGAAGATGAGCCATGGCCCCCACTGCTTCTCATGGAGCACGCATTGTCTGTCTGTGGCCTTGGATCGGGGGCAACCTCCAGGTGGGCTGGAGAGAGTGACGATTGCTTTTGGGGTTCTCCAGCTTTCTGAATGACATCCCCTGGGGCCCCATCCAAGTCGCCCCATGGTACCCGAAGGCCCATTTTTAGGGAGTTCATACCGTGGTGAGGGGAGTGCTGTGGGTGGATCCCGTTGTGTCCACAGAGCTCAGGCCTCAGAGCTCAGCACCCTCTGTCTATCCATGCCTGGGCCCATGCTGCAGTGGGCAGGGACCAGCTAGGGGGTCCCTAGGGAAGCATATGACAGGTCTGGAAGCCCCCGAAGACCCAAGCATCAGGGCAATAGACTGGAATCCACGTCTCCAGGGGCAAGGCGGCTTCTCCAGGCTGTGTGAGGGATGGTCACCTCCGGCTTGTACTCAGCCTAAGGCAGACATCCCCTAAAATATAGGTCAGCCACTATGGCCTGTTCTGTTTGGGAGGCAGGTGACCCCTCCCCCAGCTGCAGGTCCTCCTACGGGAATGTGACTCGGGGATTGCCACATTACAGGACATGCAAGGCCCTTCCACGTCCCCTCCCTAGGAGCCCCAGGAAGAGGTGGCACCTTGGGCTGTCACTGCTGAACACCTTGGGGGCAGGTGTGGAGCAAGGTAGGCCAGTGTCTCTGGGCAAGCTGACCACTTGTCCCTGGTCCAGGGCCTTGTGGAGGTTGAGGGTCCCCCCAGGAGCCAGGTGGCTTCCTGTCGAGGGGCCAGGTGCAGATGCCCAGGCCTGGGGACATGAGGGTGTGTCACTGTGCAGGATGGTGGTGAATGTGTGTGTGGGGGGGGGTGGCCTCTGCCAGCAGGAAGCAGGGAAGCTTTGTGTGTGTGTGTGAGTGTGAGTATGTGTGTGCATGAGTGTGTGTAGGGGAGAGAGGAAAGGACCCGGGGAGACCGAGTTGTGTCTGCGCACATCTAGGTGTTGGTTATTAAACCAGAGCGGGACCAAGGGCCCACGGCAAATGACAGGCTTGGTCATCTGGCTGCTGCCTTGTGCTTGGGGCTGAGGAAACACTGGTCTGAGCTTGTGCGGGTTCTGAGGGTCCCATAGGAGTCCGTGTGTGTGCCTGGTGTCCATGCGCATGTGCCACCCACGTGGTCCCTCGGTGGTAATGAATTGTTTACCGCATGAAGAGCAGGGCAGAGGAAGGCGGTGCCATACCTGGGACACGGGGCCACACAGTGAGAGTAACAGCACCAGGTGACCGATGAGGTCAGTACGCTACTCAAATAACAAAGGAGACCCAGCCAGGAGCAGAGGAAGAGCAGGTGACTTTCCCACTCCGGCCACGGCTATTCCCTGGGGTTACGTCACTTCTCAGCAGTCCGGTGATCTGTGGATCACTGGGATATTTCAGGGTTGCTTTGGACTTTGCTCTGAAATCTGCTCTGGGCCAAGGCAATAAACATGTTTACAAGATCGGCTTGGTTTCTAGGCCGAGGTGGGGGAGGGTGTTCCCTGAGAGCTGGGCCGAGCAACCTGACATACCAAACAAGAAAAAGAGGAAGGGGAGAGAAAGTCTTGCTTTGCTGAGTCCTGGATACACAGAATTTTACACTTTGAGCACCCAGAGGGATTGAACTGGGGCCCAGGCAGAGGATACTGAAGGCCTCCTAAGTCAGGCACAGTGGCGCACAGCTGTACTCCAGGCCTCGGGAGGCTGAGGCAGGAGGATTGCCCTGAGCTCTGCCTGCCCCGGGGACGCATCGGTACCTGGGCTTGGTTCTGGTCTGAGGTTCACCTCTGGCTGGGTCAGGCCACAGGCTGTTCCGAGGGGGGAGGCCACAATACAGGCATTTTTCCTGGAAAAACCACCAAGAAAGGACCAGAAGGGAATTGAGAAAAACCCAGACATGTACAGTTGTCTAACTCGTGGCCCGCAGGCGGAGGGACCCTCCCAGGTGGAATCGCTCGGCTGTTCCCAGGAGAAGCAGCACATGCTCTGAGATGGTGGAGCCCGATATGGCACTGGCAAAAAATGGTTTCCATGGCAACGGCAGCTTTATAAAAGCTTACTGTGCCTGTCTCCATCCGCATTAGCTGGGTGAGGGAGCTCTGGCCTCCGTGGGCTGGGCCCCCACAAACGAAGTTCGGGCAGGAAGAAGAGGGGCTGAGCCGAACACAGACAGGTGTCCTGCCCGCTCTGCTGGTTTTGTTGCTGAGAGGCTTTCCCGCCAAGCCTGTTCCATTTGTCCTGACCATGGACCCTTACAGGAGAAACAGAACCTTGTAATATTTCTGATTCAGCTTAGTTTGATGTTAAAATCAGAACCCTCAAAAAAATCAGAGCCCTCAGCCAGGTGTGCATCTGTAATGCCAGCACGCGGGAGGCTGAGGCGGGAGGGTCACCGTGAGTGCAAGGCTGGCCCGAAATACACCATGAGACTCTGGGAAAATGAAATGTCCAATAGTCCTGCACACCTACATTTACCTTCAAGACCTCGTGTTGCTAAAGACAGCGGGCGGGATGGAGCTGCTGTGGTCAGCACCATCCTCCCCGTCCTCCTGTCTTCTCCGCCCAGCCAGCAATGGCCAGCATATCCCCACAGCCGTATCCATCTCTCGGGCGCCACTGAGCACAATTCCTGGTGTGTGGGGGGTGCTTAGGCAGCCTGTGCTGAAAGAAATCGTAGGACCTGAGAGCCCTGCTTTCCTTGCAGCTGACCTCTGCCCCCCGCCCAGCCCCGGGCTGTGTTTGCGAAGCACAGCCAGGCTCCGAGCTTCCCAGAACAGGAGGCAGGTTCCCGGCTGGTGCAGGCGCAAATCACTCGGGTCCCAGGCGCACAGATGGTCCTCTTAAGGACACGTATGACACTGTTCACTGTGTCATACGTGTATTCACGTGTTCAGTGAGTGTTTATTATGTGCCAGACATTGCCCGGGGCTCTCAGGACTCATGGCTTAGCAGGACAGGCAGAGGGGAGAGAGTGGGACCCAGGTGCTTAACGCTCAAACGTAGACTGCGTGGGGAACTAAGTAACAGGGAAGGGGTACAGTGATGGGTGCTGAATGGGAAAGAAGAAGGTGGCATTTTAGCAGAGCCCTGAAGGAAGTGAGGGACGCGGCCATAAGCCTGCTGGGGGAGAACTTCTAGAATGTTCTGGTCAGGGTGAAGGACCTGAGGTGGGGCAGGACTGAAGGACGTTGAGCTGCAGTGAATAGGTGAGGTGTTTGGAGGTGACTCGGGCCAGGCTGGGGGGGCCGCCTCTGAAAAGCCTTGGACCCTGAGAGGAAGGGGCGCCCCCGGAGGCAGGAGAAGGGGACACGCAAATGTGCTTTCAAAGCCCCTGTGGCTGCTGAGGGGAGCCAAAGGGGGGCAGGGAGACCAGGCCAGGTGAGCGCCCCTGGGGCCCAGATGGAGGTGGTGTGGCAGGTGACACGCTCTGGAAGCGAAGCCAGCAGGAAAGAGGCAGGCAGGAGCACAGAGGTGGCATTTTCAGAGCTGCCTCAGGAAATATTCAGAGCGGCCGGAGGCTCTGGGCCAGTGAAGGCACCTGAGCTTCCCAAAGTACCAGGATGAGTATGGGTGGCCCTGGCTCCGGCGTATTAGGTTCCTGCAGCTGCTGTAACAAAATCCCACTGGCGTGGTGCAGTTCACACAAATTGCTTATCTTTAGTTCTGGAGCCGGAGTCCAAAGTCAGTCTTAGCAGACTGCATGAAGCCAAGAGCAGCACCATTGCCTCTAAGAGGCTCTGGAGGAGCCGGGACCGCTGGGAGGAAAGGGGGGATAGTGACAGCCCTACCCCAGGGGGGCGCTAGAGGGCTTTACACAGGACAGCAGCATGGGGACAGTGTCACCAATAGAGCGGCCATCACGGTCACAGAGGATGCAGGGGTCTTTCCCATGGGCCTCTCCTAAGGGAGCTGTTTGTTTTGGTTGTAGGCAGATGGAGAACCGGAGGGCCCCTCGGAGAGCCCGGTCCCTGGACAGGCCACGAGTCCTCAGGAAGGACTCAGAGACGTCAAGCTGTCAGTGCCTGTCACTGCCCAGCACACCCTGCAGGTGGGCACCCTGCCGAGCCATCGGCGAAGGGGCCAGAGGTTCCCAGAGCCTGGACTCGCCACCTTCGGGAGCTCAGGATGCTGAGGGTGCTGCAGTTCACACTCCGGAGGAGACGAGGGGGTTCCTCCCTAGCGAGCAGAGGCCTCCGCCAGACATCAAGAAGGACAAGGCCCAGTGGCGGGCCCAGCAGGGCTGGCTGAAGATGGTGCTGAACTTCCTCTGGAGGACGGGCTTTGAGGAGCCCAGAGACAAGGCCAGCAGGAGGCCGAAGGAGAAGGAAGAGCCCCCAGAGTCCCCAGAGACAGCTGAAGAACTGGGCCTCAGGAAGAAAGCCCTGGACAGGAAGGCCAGCCGCAAGAAACACGGTCACAAAAAGCATGGTGCTGCGGAGGCCGCGGGGAACCAGGACCGGGAGGCCCGGCCGCCCAGGACGGCTGCAGCCTCGCAGGCTGAGGACCCCGAAGCAGCCCTGGTTTGCAGGGGTGAGCAGACTGGCTGTCCCTGGGTGACCCAGGGTCCTTGCCTGAGGGCCTGGGGGCTCTGAGCCTCTGAGCAGAGGGGATGTGAACAGGGTAGGGGACGTTTGTCTGAGGTAGAACAGCACCATGGCCGAGCACTTGAAGCCAAACCACTTGGCTGCGTGGTAGCTTTCTTCTCCGAGCGGAAACGAGGTGGCTGCTGGCTCCTGGGTGGCCGTGGCCCATGGGGCAGTGTTTGGTGCACGGTGGTTTTCCGTGGCTCTGTAGCGCTCACTTGGACGAGCACAGGCGAAAGCAGGAAAGTGGGGTGGGGGTGGAGGGGCAGAGGGGGCTGCAGGCAGCTTTGAGGCCCTGGCTCTGGACCTTGGTTCTGGACACAGCTCCATCGGGAATAACCTGCCGCGTGAGTCTGAGCAAGCAGCTGCCCCAAGGGGCCTTGGGTCTGCGTGTGCGGGAGAAGGGATCTGGTCTCAGCGCACTGAAGGACACACACCTCTGTCCCGCACCGGAGCTCCCCGTGGTTTGCTGGGAAGCCCAGGATTTGCTGTGGGAGTAGCTGAGGTGTCCTGGCCTGAGGCAGCTGTTTTTAGATCAAAATCTCAGCACACTCTGGAGCTTGGGGGTGACTCTTAGAGTGAGCCACAGTCATGCCTGTGGTGCATATTTGGTGCTGTTTTGTGTGGGGACTGACAGATTAGGAGAACCTCACTGTCACCTGGATTAACACCTGCACGCACCCTCAATGTGTTCCAGGTGGACGGGATTCTGGTGACCACCTGTCCTTGCCCTCCAGAGGGGCCAGCGCTGGACAGTTGGATAGTTCACCCCAGGCCACAGGCTCTGGGCCAGAAGAGGAGCCAGGGAGGCCTGACCGTGAGTGGGAGTCCTTCATGGGCTTTCTGTCTATCACTGGTGGCTGCTACATACATGCACGGATCTTTCCAGGCTTCTTTGGCTTCTGACCACACCCACTTATTTTAGGGTCGCCCAGAAGGGAGGCTTAGGAATTAGAAAGGCTGTGGGAAAAGCTCCTGCCTTACATGCTAATGGGAATGGGGCTTTGTTTTTAGACTTGTAAAATGTATTTTGTTTTAAAAGCATGCAGATGAGTAAGGTCTGGGGCGTGGCTCCAAGGCAGAACGTTGCTTAGCATGTAGGAGGTCCCGGGTTCAAGGCCCAGCACCGATCAAATAAAATGTGCAGGAAAGTAGGAAGAACAGTTGGGTGCCCCTCTGTGTGCCTACGATCGTTAACTCTCTCAGTTCTCTGCACGTGTGTGGATGTATGTTTTTGTAGAATCTTTTTAGAATAAAACAATTCTTCTTCTCTAAATACTTAGGCAGAGGTCCCTAAGAAATAAGGCCAGTCCCAAACACAAGCCCAGTACCTTTATTTCTCCTAAGAAAACAATAATAATGCCCCAGCTCTGTGGTTTTTGTTTTTGTTTTTTTTTTTTTTTTGTCTTTTTCGTTTTTATCGGTACCAGGGATTAAACTCACGACTGCCTGCTTGCAAGGCAGGCGCTTATGCCACTGAGCTAAATCCCCAGCCCCAATTCCCTATGTTTTAAAAAACCATATTTTGAAGATGAGGATGTAGGGCCGGAATTGTAGCTCAGCGGTGCAAGTGCCTGCCTAGCAAGCACAAGGTCCTGAGTTTGATTCTTGGTACAAAAAAAGAAAAGAAAACGAGCAAGTTTGAGGTCTGTGCACCTGTCGGAGCATAACTAGAAGACATGGCCTTGGCTGTTCTGTGGGGTATTTAATTATTTTGTGGGTGTGGTTTTCTCACTGGAAAGGGAGTCAGCTGGAAGACAGAGCCAAAGAGCGAGACTCTTCTGTGCAAACAGTGGGCAGTGAGCGGAGGGCAGGCTGGGCACACGTCCTGGGTGAGGCCAGCGGGAGGAGGCTGTCCCTGTTTGTGGCTCCTCTGAAAGCTGGGGGTGCTCAGCTCTAGCCTGCCGCCACCTCCTTCCCGCCTTCCCTTTATCCCTACCCAATCCTGCAGCTTGGAAGATCAGATTTAGTCTCAGGAAGTGTTTCCAGGCCCCAGGGATTAGGATCCTCACTCCCAGGAAGAGTTGAAGGCCCAGAGGGAATAAGGGACTTCCCCAGAGTCAGCAGCTCCCCGAGCCCAGAGTGGGGGCTCACAGATAGGTGAAGTGGACGGAAATTAGCGAGCACCAGTTGGAAGCCTGACCTGGGTGTTAAATGTCATGCTTCGGCCACAGCCCCTGGGGCGCACTGCTTTTCTCCTGCCTTGGGAGCGGCTGCCCAAGACCCCACCCCCCTAAAACGGTGGCAGGAAGAGCACCTTAGGGAGAGACAGAGGGTGACGGTGGGTGCGCTGTGCTGTCTTCCAGAGGATGACGTCATCCGGATGATCGTGGAATTCCTCAAGAAAGTGGGAGACCAGTGGGAGGAGGAGGTGAGGACCAGCACCCCAGGAGCCCCCACCAGCCTCCTCCATCCAGCCCCACTGGGTCTCTTCCTACTCCTTCTGGGGCTCAGCACTCTGCTCCCCCGGGCTGGGGCCACCCTGCAGGATAGGGACCTGACTCAGTTTCCCCCTTGATCCCTACAGCAGTCTCAAGCCTCCCAGCCAGCAGTACTGCTGCAAAACCCAGCCCTGGGCTGCACGAGGAAGTCCCAGGAGAAAAAGCCCAGCAGCCACAAGCGGGCCTTTTCCCTCAAGAAGTACAGCTCAGAGGAGCCCCGGAGGGTGGCCACTGCTGACGTGCCCAGCCCCAGGGGCCGGCCGCCCAAGAGACCCAGCTTCCTGCCCCTCTGCATGGGTGGCGGTGGTCCCCGGCCCTCCACCTCCAGCAGCCCTGGTGAGCGGGTTCTGGCGGTTGCCATAGCAACACTGCTGGGCTGTGGAGACTTCTCAGGGCCGGGATTGGCTGCACTCCGGGTGGTGGGTCCTGGTCTGATCTCCAGCATGGGGAGAGGGGGCCAGAGCAGAGGGAAGGGCAGCCAGCCGGTCAGCTTCCCATGCTGACCCTGAGGTCCAGGCTGCCCACCTGAGCCCTGGACGGCTTTATGATCGGGTTCCCCAGTCATGCCCATCTCCGCAGCTGGGCTTCCCCATCATGCTGGTAGAAGAGGCCAGTGGCTTCGGGGAGGACTGGGCTGCAGATATAGCCTGGGTCTGAGAGTGGTGCTTTCTCTGTCATCCCAAGACTGTCCTCTTTCCCTGTCACACTTCTGTGTCTCAGTCCTCCTCATTGTCATCTTGGGAAGCCCAGTTCTTATCCTCTGACAGAGGAGGGGACTGAGGCCTGGGGAGGGGAGGGCCGTGTTCAAGGCCACAGCGCTCCTCAGTGATGGAACTGGAGCTGGGCAAGAAAAGGTCACCTGGGGAGGTGGTGCTAGCCGGGGACACAGCACAAGGAGAGGGGTGTGTGGACCCCAAAGAGCTGATGCCCAGGGTGGAAGTTCAGGCCTCGGGAGGAGGGATTTTCCTGCAGGGCCATCTGCCTGGTCCTTGGTGCCTGCCACCGGGTCAGGCACCTGCTCTTTGCCTGCCATGGATCCACATGTCCACATCCTGGAGGTGGAGCCCTGGGACAGGGAAGCCTGGGAGAGTGAGCTCTCAAAGCCCAGGGGAGGGCAGCTTGGTGTGGCTCACCTGAGGTGCCCACCAGCCCGGCCGCTTACCTGCAGAGCAGCAGGACCTTCTCGGAACCCAGCTGTGGTGCCTACTGCAGTCAGGGCCACCACCTGTGCGGAGTGGCCACCCCTGGGCTCACAGGACATACCCAGAATTCCATTCTGCTTGCCAGGCTGTGAAGGACCAGGAGCCCCCGAGGCCCCATCTGCAGACAGTGACAGCCCCAGCCCCCCTGAGCTCCCCACCCGTGCTGCATGCCAGAGACCCGAAGATGAGCTGCCGCTGGATGGAACCTCAGAATCCAGTCAGTACCCTGTCCGGGACTCCCCCAGAAACCCCTTAGGAAACTGAGTCACAGAAGGGTCCAAACCTCCCCTATGGCCACAGGCTGAGGAGCAGCGGGGAGCCCAGGCTGCAGCCTGGCCCGGGTCTGAACCTCAACTGTTCCAGGCAGCAGGTGTCACCTGGGGGAGGCAGACAGCAGACAATGGGGTGGGGGCACGGCCACGTAGGGGCCAGGGCTCCCTAGACAGCATGACCCTAGGGCCTGGGGTCCAATCTGCCCTCTCACCCCTGTGAGCCCTGGGGTCTCAGCTGTCTGTCTGGAAGCTGGGACAGTTGGAACCTCCTTCCTGGGGGTATCAGAGGATTAAATGACTGGGCTGGGGCCGGGGAGGGGGGCTGGACCCTGGAAGCCATCGGCACTCGTAAGATTTTATCCTTGGCAGAGTGGGCAGTCAGCTCCTTGAAGGGGACTGGCAGGGTCCTGTCTTATGGCCGTGAGGAGGAAGGGGCTGGGCCAAGGGCTGTGATGGTGACCAAGATCCTCTGACCGTCACCTCTGAACCAGAAGCCGTGGGGTAGTAGGGAGCAAAGACTGATCACACAGAGCTTTTCTGTTTTAGGTGAGTTCATGCGGATGATCCTGGGGCTACTCCAGGATGCGGAGGAGCAGGCTGGAGAGCAGGTGAGGGGCCATTCTGGAGCCCACGCGGCCCTCCCAGCGCCCCTCCTCCCTGCACTGCCCTGACTCAGTTTCTCTCCTCTCTCCCACAGCAGCCTCAAGTGCAGGAGGCCGACGCAGCTGGGGAAGGCCTGGCCCTGGCTGGCAGGTGGAAGGCGCAAGAGAAAAAGCCCAGCGGCCTCCGGAGAGCGTTTTCTCATAAAAGACACAGCTTCAAGGAGCCCAGGAGAGCGGGCGCTGCAAGGACTGGGGGGGCTGCCACCCCCGAGTCCCGGCCACCCAAGAGGCCCAGCTTCCTGCCCCTGTGTGTCGGTGGCCAGCGCACCTCCATCTCCTGCAGCTCTGGTGAGTGGGTCTGGGGTTACCATGGCGACGGGGGCTTCCGGCTTGCTTGGGCTTTCTGCCCAGGTCCAGTGGTTAGGGTCTCTGTCTGTCCACACTGAAGCCTGAGGACCACGTGTATACAGTGGTTCCCCGGCATTTATGGAGCATCTACTGTACCCCACCATCTCACGCGTCTCATCCAACCTGCTTGGGCCCTGTGCGGTGCAGCCTCCTGCTCCCACCCAGTGGATGGACAGAGTCAGCTTCGGACATGCTGAGTGACCCTGCCCAGCCCCGCAGAGCTGGAGAGCGGTTGTTCATGGGGTGGACTCGCTGGCCTGGCTGCTCACTCTTGACTGCCCTATTCCAGGCCGTGAGGGTCTGAGCCAGCTGCGAACGCTCACATCGGTACTTTTGCCCTCAGATGGAGAAGAACCAGAGTTCCTGGAGCCCTCGGCCGCAGAAGGGGCAGCCCCCGTGTTCCCAGAAGTGGCCTCGAAGGCCAGCAGCTGCACGCCGGACGGGGGGCCCCAGCCCCCTCAGGAGGGAGCCTGCAAATCTAGTCAGTACCTCCTGTCTCTGGGGGGTTCACTTGTGCTTAGATGTCACGGGCCAAACGGGATGGGGACGAGTCCCTGGGGAGCCGAGAAGGCAGCCGACACACCGAGGATTGCCAGGGGCATGGGTGGCCTTGTAAGATGGGCTGCAGGGCAAGATCGCAGGTGGCGGGGGGCACCTGTCTCTTGGGCAGGGCTCGACTGCCCTCTTGGGGTTTGCATGAATCGTACACATAAAACCCTAGTTCAGCCAGGCCTGGCGGTACACACCTGTAATCCTAGCAATTGGGAGGCTGAGGCAGGAGGATCACTGCAAGTTGGAGGCCAGCCTGGGCTACGTGGTGAGACTCTGTCCAAAAACCAAAACCTTGGTTTGCTCTGCCCTGGTAACTATGCCGTGTGGGTAGACAGATGATGTGTAGGTGTATGTGGGACCTGTAGCACTAGCAGATTTCAGAGGCATAAACATTTCCACCTGGTCAATCACAAAGTGCCAGCAGGCCCTTCCTGCCTGTTTGCCATGACCTTGGGGTTGGGTACTCTGCGGGCCCAGGGGACTGATAACCAGACAGCACCGTGTGTCCCCTCCTCAAATTCTGATGAGTGGCTCCTACTCCACGTTTCCATTCTTGATGCGGGGCCCCTCAGTTTTCCCATCTGTCAAATGGAGCCGAATGGTTACTGGTGAGGCCTAGCTGGCCGGAGCACCTTCTGTTTCTATGAAGCAAAATTACACAAAAGCCCGAGTTTAAGGAAAGACTTTTCCATGCTGGCTATTACTGATCTGTGTGCCCCATGGTACATAAAACTCACAGCCTTTATTGACAGTTGTTTGGTGACAGTGTTCCAGTGGGGGGGGGTGAGACACCACCCAGGAACAATCTCCCCTTCTTTTTTTTTTTTGGTCTTTTTCCTTTTTATCGGTACTGGGGATCGAACTCACAACTGCCTGCTTGCAAGGCAGGCGCTTATGCCGCTGAGCTAAGTCCCCAGCCCCTAATTTCTCTTTCTTCTTCCTCCCTCAGAGGAGCTCATCATTTGCAAGCTGGTGGCTCTTCTCCAAGAGGTGGATGGCGAGTTGGGGAAGCAGGTGAGTCCTCTCCAGCGCTGTGCTCCCCAGCCTGGTGCCCGGACCTCATCTGCCTACCCCTGAGACCCGGGTCCCTTTCAATCTCTCCATCTCCATGCTGGACGTGTCCCTTAACTTCTCTGAGACTCAGTGTCTTGTTTTGCAAAATGGGGGATGTATGGATCAGCTTTCCTGTAGCTGGACACAATATCTGACACCCACAAGTTAAAGAAGGACAGGTTTGATTTGGCTCCCATTTGAAGGGGTTCAGTCCATGTAACCATGCTGGCTTCCAAGCAGACATCATGGCGGAAGGGGGTACAGACAAAACTGCTTAGTTCACGGTGGCCAGGAAGCAGAGCCAGGGAGCAGGACCAGAGAGGGAGAGATCAAGGGACCCAGGGACAAGGCCACGCCTCTTGATCCTCCCAGACACACCCACAAATGTGCTGCACCAATCCCCTGGGTGGATCCCAAAGCTATCAAGTTGACACTATCCATTTAACCATCACAAGGGAAAATCACCTACTTGACCAAAGGTGCCCACATAGAAACTGCCAGACATAGCAAGAGGAGCCAGTGGTAGTTACAGCAGAGTCTGTCATACTCGAGGAGGCTCCCGTCTGCAAGCAGACCCTCCCCAGTCCTCACCCCTCAGCTGGAGCTCAGCCCCATGTCTCAGAGCCCCATGTCTCTGTGGCCCTTTGGCCCCAAAATCTCCTCCTGCTCTGAGGCCCCTCCGCATCCGTGGGCCCCTGATTCTGTAACAGAAACCTCCCTGCCCTTGAGAAAAAAGCTCCTGGGGGAGACTTGTAGGTCCCATGCAAGGGGGACAGGTTACAGATGGGACAGTGGTGCCCAGGCTTTACCCACCACCAGCACAAGGCCCACCTTGCAGCCACCAGGGGACCCAGGGCCTCTCTGGGAACAGGATTTGGCAGCATGGGAATTTTCGCTGCTGGGGTGACATGCATGTGTCAAAACCAGGGCCAACCATGCTGGCCTGGCTGCATGGAGCTTGGGGGTGGGGGCCTGGGGGAGGAGGACCCACCAGCAGTCCTAATGCCGCCTGCATCTCTGCTTCCAGATCCAGAGACACCCCAGCTTCAAGAGGTTTTTTTACGAGTTCTCAGACTCCGCCCTCAGGAAGCTGGTGGCCACCCTGAGCAGCCAGCAGGCCCACCTGGCAGACGGGGACGGGGGCCTCCCCACGAGACCGTTCCCGTTCACCTTGGGCCTGGGCAGCAGATACACTGACAGCCACAGGCGCACCATCTGCAGCCTCATGGGCTCCCGAGGGGGAGCCCAGACCCTGTCCAGGGAGGCCCAGCCGGTGAGAGAGGGGGCCAAAGATGGTGGCACAAGGGACCCCAGGGCCTGGGCAGCCCGCAGCGATTCAAATGCCACCACCTCCCGAGGGCCCCCGGGACAGTTATAAACCACAAGGACTCTTCTCCTCCCCAGGGTGTCACTGGTCAGCACCGGCCCTGGGCAGCAGGGTTTCCAGGTCTCGATGTTGGCAGGGAGACAGGAAGTTGGCTCGTCCCTCAGCTGCCGTGTTAGTACTTTATGGGTTCTGCTGGTGACTTCTCAGTTCTAGACTGCTGGAAAATTTAAATAACAATAAAGGAAGGTTATATTTCAGATAAGGGTGGTGGAGGCAGACAAGAAGGCTCCATGGGCTGCTGGTTTGGGCAGGTTTCCAGAAGGGAGCGGGCACTGCCCAGCCGCAGCTGACCACTGAAATCAGCCGTCAGCCTCTCACACTCTTTCCCTCTCTCTCTCTCTTTTTTTCCTTCCTTCCTTCCGTCCTTCTTTCCTTCCTTTCTTCCTGCAGCATTGGGAATTGAACCCACTGAGCCACATCCCCAGCCTCTTTTAAAAAATTCTTTTTTTGCTTGAGACAGGGTCTCGCTAAGTATCTGAGTTGCCCAGGATAGGCTCAACTTTGCAGTCTTCCTGCCTCAGCCTCCCAGAGTACTGGGCTGACAGCAGTGGGCCATCGCACCTGGCTACTTTGTAATGGCTTTCCTGTCCTGCCTGAGGCTCCCCCAGAGCCTCTGAGAAATTCCTGTGAAAGATAACAGTGGAATTTTAAAAATTCAGAAGTTTCCTGTTTTCTGGTGGGGTCTGATGATCGTGTGGTCCACTTGAGATAATCTGCCCGCGCAGTCAGCCCGATCCGATCCGCAGGGCAGAGCTACCAAATGAAGGCTTGGCTTTAAAATAACCAACAGGACCAGGACTATGCGGGCCAGAGGGCCCCTGGGAAAGCAGACCTTCTCAGCGAGGCTACCGTCCTTGGACATGCTCTACCTGCCTGTCCGGGGTTTACCTTCCGAGGCCCTTGGCAAGCCTCTCTAGGAAGCTGGCCTTCCCCCGCAGGAGTCGGAACTCGCAGACACCCTGGTCCCGGCTGGCTGATTTTCCCGGTGTGGATACCTCCTGACCCTCCTGGGCCTTTCTTTTCTCAGCCTCCCTGTCTTCTCCCCCAGCCTGGGGCTCACGGACAACCTGTCCCCCAGGGCTGGTTAGAGAACATCTTCAGGGCTGATCTAAATTCCTGGCCTGAAAGTTTCAATTTTGCCATCGTTGGTAGTCATGAGCACAGCTCCTGGTTTTAGGGTTCCTTCTTCCATTCACTCGTGTATTTGCTCACGCATGTGTGCAAAGCACGGTGAGGTGCTGGGGAGGCCTGGCCTTCAGCGACCTCACATGCTGGTGGAGGAGACTAGGTTTAACGCAGCCGAATGCCCAGGACCGGCAGCTGAGGTGGCAAGCAAGTTAATCCCGGGAGGCTCCCAGGAGGTGGCAGGCATTGCTTGTGGCCAGCAAGGATGGGAGGCGGTGGGCGGGGAGGGCGGATGGGGACAGCCCTGTAGCCGTGGCAGCTGGGAGAGTGAAGACTCACAAACCTCCGGGCTGGGGCTGAACTGTATGTTCTCTTCCTCCTCCCAGAACCTCACGAGTCCCGACTGTCAAAGTCCGGATTAAGAGTGATGCCTAGAACTGCAGCTCCTGTCTTAGCCAAACAGTTGGTGCCTTAGGCCGGGAGCCCCGAAGCTGCTACCTAACCCCTCAAATCCGAGCTCCACCCATGACTCTGAAGACCGCACACCACTGTCCTAAAATGTGTGAAGCCTTAAGACTGCAGGTGGTGGGGGGTGCTGGCTGAGCCCTGGACCAGAGCTAGCTGACCCCAGGGCAGCGCGGGACCTGCGGCCAGACTGGACACAGCCCTCTACTCCGTGGGATCCGACAGAAGGCCCTTGACACCTCCCTGGGCCCTGGAATTCTGTGGCCAGAAAAGTGAGGGGACACCTTGTACCTCGGCTCCTGTGACCGGCTGAGGGTCAGTGAGAAGCCGGATGTGAAGAGTTTCAAAAATATCTGATGCCGTGTCCGGGGTACAGTTAGGTTATTTTTATTAGAGCAGGAAGTAGGAGAGGGGGCTTGTGGCGGACCTCCATGGACAGCAGCCTGGCATGCGCTGCATAAAAGCCCTGTACCCTAAAAGGCACTGTCACATCGCGGGAGATGGGGTCTAGAAACTCATAATGACAATTTCCCAGCTGGGGGCAGTAAAGGGTCTTTTTTTTTTTTTTTTTTTTTGTATTTGCACAAAAGTGAGGGCAAGAGCGGAGGTCCGTTAGCTTTGCCCACCCATGCAGACTGGGCAGGGCTGCTCTCCTCTCGGGTTATTCCAGACAGGGGTCAGGATCGTGGAGTTCCTTTGACAGAGGTCAGGAACCTTTCATGTGTAATTTCTTATTGCAGTGATGAGCTTTAGGCTGAACAAGTCCCCGATGCTGGCATCCGGGTCTCACTTTTTTTTAAACCATGTTATTGAGTAATAAAGAAATGGGCCTGCACAGGTGTGAGCTGTGTTATCCTGATGGAGGCGAGACTCATGTCCCCCTGGCGCACCCCAGACAGCTCGGCACCTGCAGGGCTGTGGGCTCCGCCTCCCGGGCCCCATCCGGACCCTGTCCACGTTTCCCACCCGTGGGTTGACAAATTGCTGAGACATTGAAAGAAAGAAAGAAATTGAAAGAAAGAAAGAAAGAAAGAAAGAAAGAAAGAAAGAAAGAAAGAAAGAAAAAGTCTCAGATTGGGTGTCAGGTGGCCCAGGTTTGGGTGATGACTGTGGGGACAGATAGATGCTTGTCCTCCCAGACTGATGTTTGGGAGCGCTGTGACTCTCAGGTGGGGGCTCATTATAAGCCCCCCCAATCTGAGACCAGTACTGATTTAATAGTCCCCAAATTCTGGTCCCAAATTCTGCCCTCAAAACCAGGGTAGAAATTGCCAGAACACAGCAGATGGTCAGGAAAACAGTCCCCGGTGGGAAGGGGCGGAAGACGCCCTCTGCACTCCCCGGACATCGGTGTCAGCTTTTCACACCTCGGTCCCAGTTCTGAAGGCTCACGTCACACGTGGAGGAGCTCGGGATGGCGTCCTATGCCTCATCTTGCAGAGGAGACATGCACCTACCCAGCGGACACTTTGTGGGAGCACTGGGTGTGGGAGACCCTGGTGCTTTAATAGCCTTTTGAAAGATGGGTGCAGGACACCATAACACAACCTCACGCTGTCCCCTGAGAAGTCAGAGATGATCCAGCTGGCTGAGTGGGAGGCGTGGGCGTCTCTCAGACCCACTTTGGGGAACAGGCCAGCATCTGGCCTTGCCCTTGGCACTAGTGAGGCCTCCTCATGCTAAGCTCATGGCAGTCACCCAAACACTGATAGGGCTTGTTGGTTAGAAAAGATCGAGAAGCCAGTGGGTGGGGAACACCTGTGCTCTCCGTGCTCTGGGAGGCTGAGGCAGGAGGATCAGAAGTTCAAGTCCAGCCTGAGTGACTCAGCACCACTCCATTTCAAAAAAGGGCTGGGGACATAGCTCAGTGCAAAGGCCCTGAGTTCAATCCCCGGTAAGGGAAGGGAGGGATCAAGAGAGGGAGTAAGAGAGAGATACAGAGAGAAAGGAGAGAGAGAAACCAGCTAGGGCTGGCAGATTTAGCAAATACAAATATGGGAAGCCCAATTAATTCTGAATTTCAGATAAACAACAAAGAATTGCAATATGAAGGGACATTCTTCTATACAAACAATTATTCAGTGTTTATCTAAAATTCCAATTGAACAAGATGTCCTGTGTTTCATCTGGAACGAATGCAAGAATAATCTTCTTAATTACCTCAAAACATGGGAAATTAACCAGAATTCAGAGACATCCACAGGGGATTTACTGATCCTTGTAACTGAACCAACAGTAAAAGCGTAGGTTCTGCCCGGAGGCGATAATTATTAGTGAGTTCGAGTCCCCTGCGCTCCCGGGAATAAGACGGGATCCCTCTCTCTTCCACAAGGGATTCCAAAGGCCTGCAGCAGGGGTCACCCGGGGTCCCACCTTGTCCCCACCTGCAAACCCTCAGCTGCTGGCCTCCCACTCAATGTCCGTTTCGTCCCCTGCTCGCTGTTAAATGCGGGCTCCCCCAGCTGCTTTGCCTTCCAGCAGGGTGCTGGAGTTTGCATCCTGGGATTTGTTAAGCAAATGAGGCTGGGGTGTGGGGAGCCTCTCCTCTCTCTAGGAGGCTGAGGGCACCTCTTTTCCTAGCCAGGCTGGAGAGATCGAGGCTGAAGACGCCTTTCTCCTGGACCATCTTCACTGAGGCGTGGACAGCACACATCTGCTGTCCCCCAGCGGTGCCTGGGAGGGGACATCTGAGGTCCTGCGGCTTTGCATTTTGCACAAGCACAGCCAGACTCCGGAAGTCCGAGCCTCCTCACTGCGGAATCTTGGGGGGCTTTGGAAGACCCGGAGGTCCAGGCTGCGTGCCAGGCTGACTCTGGCGGTACCCAGTGCACCCTTGGGCACCCCGAGAGAATAAAAAACAAACTGAAAGAGGAACTTGGTCTCTGGACACTGGGGAACAGCACAGGGTGTCTTTGGCTGCCTGAGGTTTGCCCCTGGTCCAGGGGAGGAGGAGGTGACACCTCTGGTCCAACGGGACGGGGCGTCTGGGCAGGGCGTCCGGACCCCAGCAGGCTGGGGAGGCAGAGAGACTGTGGAGACAGAAGCTGCTCAGGACCTGAGTCCTAGTCACCACGGGCAGCGGCAGGTGTCACCCACGCAGGCCTGGCTGGGAGGATGACTGAGATCCTCCAGGTGACGCCCGGTCCCGCATCCTCTGGTCTCTGGTCCCCAGGTCCCCAAGCCCTCGGGTCCTCTCACGTTCTCTCCTGGTCCAGCACGGGTATTCTCTCTTGCCTCACAGCTTCCTAGGCAGAAGATAAGGAGTCATGATTTCTGAGTCCCCCCAGTTTTAACTTTAGCACCCGCTCAGAACAGTCCCCCAGTTTTAATCACGGAGCAGGCCCCGTGGCAGCCAAGCAGACACACGCAAACTGGAAATCTGGGTTACACCAAAAGCTACCTAAGGGCTTCACTTCATGACACAGGGATCCTCGCTGCTCTGCAAATGGAGTCTCCCCTGGGAGGTGACAAAGGGACATTAATCAGTTTATAAAAGTCCAGTTGGCACTGAGTTATTCAGGAAGAATGTGAGGGTTGAGGGGTCTCTAGAGGTCACCGAATACAGCTGTACGGATTGTGCACTGAACAAGTACGGGCCATGTAAAGGGAGCGGTGGATTCACGCAGGTGTCTTTGCGGTTCTCTGGCCGCCTTGTTCTAACAGCAGCCCAGCAATTTTCCAGCTGCTGGCAGTCAAGTCCCCCAGGAGAGGCACTGTTTTCACAGTGCTGTCTGGGCCCAATTTGACCTTGACTGTCCCAGGAAGAGAGCAGGGTGGGGGCAGAGATGAACCCAGGGTCATCTGGGGTCACCACAGCAGCCTGGGGTGGGGGACAGCCCAGCATTGCATACCTCAGGGCCGCCATACGCCTGGCTCCGGCTGGGGTGAGGCCTGCAGGTGACCCACACGGTCCCAGGGGCGGACAGCAGAGCCAAGTCCAGCGTGCAGGACGCAGACCTGGGTGGAGGAAGCCAAGGAGGCTGGGTGAGGAGACACCAAAGAGCGTCACTGGGAGGCCAGTCCTGAGCCCTGGCTTCCTGGCTGTGCCACAGTGGCAGGTCGCTTGCCCTCTCCGAGCCTGGGGACGGCCCCTGCACCATGGCGCTCAGCGGGAGACAGTGCAAGCCCCTGGTGCTCAGAACGCGGGCTCCAGGAGGGGTGGGACTGCCCGGCTTCTTACCCAGGTCATCTCAGAGGGGCCCGGGACTTCAGGGGGCTCGGATTTCCTGGTCCTGGGGGTTGACCCTACGGCTTGGCTTTCACTTGGAGCTACAGCTCCAGGCTTTTTTTTTTCCAATTTGGAGAATTCCCCCAGCAGGGACTCAAACTTGTACCCATCTGAGCAGGGAGTGGTGGTGCATGCCTGTAATCCCAGAACTCTCGGAGGCTGAGGCAGGAGGACTGCAAATTTGAGCCCAGCTTGAGCAGTTTAATGATTTAGGGAGATCATGTCGGAAATTTTAAAAAAGGAGTGACTAGGAATGTAGCTCAGCGGGGAAGTCCTAGGTTCACCCGCTCAGCACCATAAACAAACAAGCAGAGCTCACATCTACATCGGTAAGGTTCTTGCTGTCAAAGAGCAATCATAGAGTTTTGCTTTTTCTGAGCTTTTTCCATTTTAGAATTGCAAGTGCTGAGCCTGTGTGATTTCTTTTCTTTTCTTTTCCTTTTTCTTTCTTTCTATTTTTTTTTTTTTCTTTTGTCTTTTTGAGACGGGATCTCGCTATGCAGTCCAGGCTGGCCTTGAGCTCACTGTGTAGCCCAGGCTGGCCTCAACTCACAACGACCCTCCTGCCTCGGCCTCCCGAGTGCTGGGATTACAGGCGTGCGCCACCACGCCCGGCTCAATACCTGTTTTGTGTGCACCAGCTAAGCTTGTGTGGCAGTGTTCCTGGTGCCAGGTAGCTGTGACGGTGACAAAAGTTGTGGAGACAATGCCAATGTCTGTGTAGAGGGGACGCTTACAGATACAATGCTATCCTCACACCACATGAACCCTGGGGGCCGGTGACAAACTGGAGAAATCTGTATTTGGCAGAGGAAGCACTAATGATATGTGGCTTCATTCAAAGCAGGCAAGACAGCAGGATGTAGCACACGGGATCAGGGCTGTCGGCACATGCTGAGTGAATGTGGAAAGGTTTTACCCACACATCCCGTCTGGGTCGGGGTGGGCCTCCTGGAAAGCGTTACTCTCCAGTTCTGCTGCTCTCCAGGGGCAGCTTTTCTGGGTAATGCGTCTACGTTGGGTTTTAGAAGCAGAGAAAGCAGTAAGATTGGTCATCCTATGAGAAAGGCAGGTGTAAGACTCTATGTACACAGATGATGCCTCTTTCAGGTGGGCTAAAGTATCAGGCTCCAACAGACACTGCCCTGTCCGGAGCCACAAAGTGACTTCTTCCTGCGTGGGACACACCCAAGGGCCCCCACATGCCAGGGCTCTGCTGTCCGACCTGACAAGGCTTTGGTACCCAGAATTTACAGGACACTCTCACATTCTGCTTCTAGAGTGAGTCCCAAGTAACAGGGGGTGACAGGAAGGCGGAGGGTGTGGGGGGAAACTGAGGCTCTCATTCAATAAAGTGACCCGGCTAGTTGAGAAATGAGGCTTGGACTTTCCAACTTGAGGCTCCTGCCCCCCATGCTCCCGTCACCGTCATGGCGGACAAACTAACTGCTTCGTGATCACATCCAGATAGCGGGGCAGCCAAGCTGGTCGGATCCCGAGTTTGCTGCCTAGCAACTAACTGTGTGGCATGGGGCGGTCGCTTAAGGTGTACACCACAGTCCCTGGGACATAATGACTCTATATGTTTATTATTATTATTATTATTATTATTATTATTATTATATTTACATTTGAATAGAGAGGAACTCATGGGAGAGGCTCTCTGATGATTTGAAAATTTGGAGGAGTTGACAGACTTGGTAGCAACGGGAGGATTTGGGGGCCCAATGAGTCTTCTCCTTCTCCATTCTTAGCCCAGTTTGGGGCCTGCATACAATGTGGGAGCAGATGACCACTGCACTTTTACTGCAGGAGAGTCAAGACCAGCAGAGAAAGCCAGGTTGGCCCCCACATCCAGTCCTGCTCCCGAAAAGGACCTCTCCCATCACCACTGTTACTCAATGAAAGGGACGCAGAACACAGTCAAACCTGACAGGTCCCCAGGCCGAGCTACAGCAGCCAACTCATGGAAGACAGAAATAAATGCCTGTTGTTTTAATTCACTGGGATTGGAGGGTGGTTTGTTACACAGCATTATCCTTGGAGCAAAAACTGACTAATACAACCTACATCAGAGTATGCATAGAAACCTATATTTAAATGATAACCCTGATTAATGTACCCAGATTTCTGCCCATACGTTGTTTTTTTTAACTTTAACTTTTTAAAGTTAGGTGGGATCGAACTCACAACCACCTGCTTGCAAGGCAGGTGCTTAGCCGCTGAGCTAAATCCCCAGCCCCTGTCTATAAGTTTTTATTGTTGCCTCTCTTTTGCTGAAGGGATGTCAGCTGTGGACCATGAATGTCACAGCATGTCTTATGACTGTAATTTGGGAGGAAATGACCAGATGCCTCCTCCTCCAGGATCCCTCCCTCTTCTTTCCATTTTGTCTTTTTAATTGTAGTGGAAATTGAGCCAGGGCCTTTGCACTGACCTACAACAACCCCAGATCATTTTTAGTTTTTATAAATCAAGGTCTCACTCAGTCACCAAGTTGTCTAGATCGAGCTTGCACTGCCATCGTCCTGCCTCAGCCTCCCAGAGCACGGGCACCTTTGAGCTTCTCTTTTCTACCCCTCACCCAGACCTCTGCAGCTCGACTGCCGTCAGCCTGTGTTAGAGTCACAGGCTCAGCTGCCAGGCCCAGCCCTGTGGCCACGCAGCCCTGCCCCTGCAGTATGTGCTGTTTTAGCTCAGCCCTGGGCTGCCCTGCCTGTGAGCCCAGGGACCCAGGTTCTGCCCCCTCCCTTTCTTCCCTCTTTCATTTTATTTTCTATCTTATCGAGATACTGGGACTTGAACTCAAGGCCTTCGCACTGAGCTTTATCCCCAGCCCTTTTATATTTTGAGTCAGGATCTCATTAAACACTAAATTGCTCTGGCTGGGCTCAAGTGTGCGATCTTCCTGCCTCAGCCTCCCAGAGTGCTGGGATGACAGGGCTGCTCCCCGTCCTCCTTTTAATCTCCCAAGGGACACGAGGGTTTGGCCCTCTTCCTGAGGGGCCCTGAGACTCCCCTCCATCATGCCATTCCCTGCACCGAGGAGGCATCTGTCCCGGTGCTGGAGGGGGCTCTGAGCCCGCAGCGCCGCCCTCTTATAAATCTTGAGTCTTCTTGGGGGGTCGGGCAGCCGGAAGGGAGCCCCTCTGAGTGATCAGGGGTTTCTGATCCATGAAGGATGGAAGCCAAGGGAACAGCAGTGTGGTTCTGTCCCATTCAGAAAGGACTCCGATAACCCAGTGAAGCAGTGTATTAATACTCAGCCTGGCTTCCTGTGAGGCTTCGTGTGAAATCCATGAGTCTGTCTGTCTGTCTGTCTGTACCATGTGCCTTTCAGGGAAATGTTATGATTCAGTGAAAAAACTTGATTTAGGCGAGGCTCAAAGTTGAGCAAATTATCCTTTTGGTCACTGGCCTTATGCTTGGTCTGGGGTAAATTATTGAAAGTCAGAGACTAAGTTTATCTTTGATATTTTCAGAGCTCAGGAGAGTGTTTGGCACTTAGCAGGTGCTCGATAAATCATTAAGTCAACAACAGCACCACACAGTGACCAAACTGACCCTGACTGGGCTCTTAGCTCCACGCTGGAGTGGTACATGGTGAGGTTGGCCTGGTTTTAGGCGTCTGTTCAGAGTCACTGGAACACCTACTTAGGGGAAGCTCTACTTTTCCTCCTTATCTTTCAAGCAATTCACCTAGTTGATTGCCCTACGTCTCACAACTGCATGAACTGACATCATGCCCATTTTGCAGGTCAAGAAACTAAGGCTCAGGTCAGGCATAGTGGCATGTACCTGTAATCCCAGCACTGGGGAGGCTGAGGCAGGAGGATCACCACAAGTCTGAGGCCAGCCTGGGCTACAAAACAAGACTCTGTGTCAAAATAAATAAGTAAATAATAAATTGAAAAGAAAAAGAAAGAAAAGAAGAAACTGAGCGTCAGAAGATCAAGGGTCTTAACCATGATCACTAAGCAAGACAGATTTTAGGTGGGGGGGCCTGACTCTGAGGCCCCGGCTCCCTGTGCTCCTCCCTCCCGGCCCTTAATGTCTTTGCAGTGTCCTGCAGACAGCACTGGACGCTGTCACTCTGCTGGGGACTTAGGAAGCATCGTGGACTCACTGCGCCTTGCCACTCGGTTTCCTGGGCCGAGGTTGTCTGGGGAAGCCTTTCCGGGAGCTGCCTGTCTTTTGTTTGTTCCTCTTGAGCGCCTTGGTAGTCCGGTTCAAGTCTGCAGCGGGGCTCTCCCTGTGCAAAGAGATGACGCAGGGGCTTCCTCAGTGGCCTGTCCTGTGTCTGTCACCGTGGGCTCCTGGGCCCACCCGGCAGGCAGGCGCCCAGGGCCACCAGAGTCCCCGCTGTGGGACCGACCATCAGGGAGGATTCATCTCAGCGACATCACACAGACCTGTCATCCGAAACCCGAACTTTCATTCAGGTCCATGCAGATGCAAAAAAGTTTAACTTTTGTGAAATTCATGCCTCCTTTATGCCTAAGCCTGAAATGACTAAATGTACACAAATTATCTAAAAATTTTATACATAAATTAGATGCAATATGGGAAGTAGGCAGGTACATTTCAAGAAATGTGCTGTGGTATGGATGCAGACATCAAAAGTAAGAATGTCTCAGGCCCCATTCTCCCCTCCTGCAGCTGTGGCCAGAGGGGTCACTACCAGAGTGTTCCAGAGAGAGGGGGGCAGCTACATGGAGGGTGGAGGCAGAAATACCCCAGAGTGACCCTGTGGCCTTCCACTGGCTCATCCAATGGGCATCCAGCAAGGGTGCCTGGTGTGTGGTCCCCAAGAATGTTTTTTAAAAAACACAAAACAGGGCCAGAGACTTAGCTCAGTGATTCAAGGGATTGCCTGCTAAGCACAGTAATGAGTTCGATCCCCAGTACCAAAAACAAAACAAAACAAAACAAAAAACCCAAAACAAAACAAACAAGCAACCAGCATCCCAAGGCCTGTCCTAACTGCTGCAAAGATAACAGAGTACATGGCATCCTGGTTCTCAAACACTTCTGTTTGCAAACAATCCAGTTCTCAAACAAGAGTACGTGACAAAATTTTGCTTCTGTTGACAAACTCCACATCAGGTGACAAAGACATCCACGGTCACTTTCCCCAAAATTGTAAAACAAATTAAGTTCATAAACCGAGGCACCAGGGCATATGTTACACAGCCTGGACAACTGATGCATATGATGAAGGAGATTTTCTGGGTGATTCACTATGGATATTGGGGCCTTCACGTGCAAATAAGAGGCCACTTGAGGTAGGCAGCCCTGGGAGAGGGGCCAGCTGGAGAGAAGTGAATTCACATCACGCAGGGGCCTGGATGAGGCTGTTTGCTAGCCCCCTCTAACTGTGGTCACACTAGACAGTAAAATACAGGTGTGGAGGTGTGCACATCTCCCCACAGCACCCCAAGGAGGTGCATTTTTGGCAGGGCAGGAGGGAAACGAAGAGAGTGGCCTTAGCTGTGTGAACCGGCTCATGCTCACTGATTGCCCTCATCGGGAAGAGGAAAGGGCTGGACTGAGAGCTGTAAAGGGGTGGACTGTACTCACACATAAGCTAGAGAGGACCTTGGCTCTCCTAGCACAGCGGAAGGGTGGAATGCATCACCTGGCTGCACCCCTGTAGCCCCGACCAAAGGAAAGGAGTATGCCCCCAGGCTGGGGGTGTAATCCCCACACACATGGTCCCCACCGAAGAGAAGCTTACATCACGTTGGACTTGCTGGCAGTTTCCTTCACGTTAGTCAGAGCCGGGGCACTTTTGGGATTTGAAGAGGTGAGGAGAGCTACAGCAAAGAGAGCACAAAGAGAGGAGACATGAGCGAGATGGGATGGGGTACTGGGTCATTTGCGAAGTAACAAGCGAGGGGTGAGGCGCTGCTGAGGCACTGTGGGAGGTTCTCAGCCTCGGTACTGTTGCCATTAGCATTAGATAACTCATTCTTTATTAGGGACACCTCTCGTGCACTGTAGGATACTCAGCAGCACCCCGGCCTCCACCCACAAGGCAACTACAGAAATCTCCAGAGTTCTTCATCCAAGAAGCTCCACCCAGCACAAGCGAGGACCCCCCAGGGTGGCACAGATGTGAGGTGACAAAGAAATGCCTTGCACTGAGCGGCATCTCCAGCCCTTCTGAGTTTTGGAGAGGGTCTCTCTAAGTGGCCCAGGCTGGGCCAGATCTTGCAATTTTCCTGCCATGGTCTCCAAGGGGATCTGGATGTGCCAACACACCCACCTTTGACTTGTTTGTTAGCTCTTAATGTCCTTGTGTTTTGTCTTATTGGGATTAAAAGAATCAAAATAAACCTATTGCAGAGAAAGGGGGTCACCTTAGACTGGAGCCACACCTCCAAAGATGGGCCCTTGCTGCTCTGCAGTGTCTGCCATGGAATCTGGGGCAGGGGCCACGAGGCAGTCTGGCTTCAGGATGCCCTTGGAGCCCTCTCCCCCGCCTCTCTTCCTCCTGATGTTCTCACACTTTCCTACTCTCCACCTGAAAATCTAGACAGAATCTGAAATGTCTATTCTGCATCCCATCTAATCCCACAAACCACAGTTCATCAACATCCCGGCCATTTAAACTCACCTGTCACCCTACCCCCACCCAGCCAAAAGCCTTTCCGTCCCCCAGAGAGGAGGGGCTGACTATGAACACGCTCAACACTGCTGTTGTTAGATACAGCCACTCAAAATGTGTGTTTTGGAGTCAGTACCCAGGCTGGAGAGAGCTCCTGGGAGTAAGGAATAAGAACGGCTCATCTTGGCAGCACCCAGAGTGATGTTTCTCAAACTATTTGTAGTGAAGAAACAGTTTTTTAAAAATATACAGGCCACCAGGGACGATGGTGCATGCCTGTAATCCAAACACTCGGGAGGCTGAGGCAGGAGGATCGTTGCAAGTTTGAGACCAGCTGGGGCTACCAAGTGAGCTCAAGGCCAGCCTGAACTGCACAGTGAGACCCAGAGGGCTTGGGGCTTAGTAGACCTCTGGGTAGGCCCCGAGAACTGTCATTGCCAATCTCCCCAAAGGATTTGCTGCCGTGGGGTCAGTACGCTTCAAATGTCAACCGCGCTGCCCCCTTGTGGTAGCCCGCGGTTATAGCAGGCAGGCCGCTAAGGTTCAAGGCTATCAGCAGAGCTCTGGAGAAAGCAGAAAGGTCAATACCTTGGAGCTGCTCTGGGCCCAGCATCTCCACAGGGGGCCGAGCTGGTGACCCTGAAGGACAGTGTCGGAATGACATTGGAGGAACAGGGCCAGCTGAAGGTCTTGCAGATGCAAATGTGTGGAGTAGGACTCTAGATGGCTGCACCTGCTGCCAGGGTGACACACGTGGATTCCCAGGGAGTGCGACAGGCAGCGATGAGCCAGGTGTTGAGCTGCAGGTGAGGCGCCCAGGTGCCAAGTCACTTGAAAAACGTGGCAGTGATGCAGCTGGTGGCTGAGCAGGTGACGGCTTGAGTGAAGAGACAGGCAAGGCGACAGGTGACTCCACGGGCCCCTCAGGCATGGGTTCGAGCGTCTGCACAGGTGGGGACACAGGTGGGTAGCTGTCCCTCCCGGCCTGCTGGATGTGGAGTGGAGCAGGCTCCTCCAGCCGGGCCCAGGACCTCCGAGGACACAGCTGGCCGTACTCGGGGAACTTGGGGCCCAGGGCCAGCTGGATCTGGGAGTACACCTCCACCCTTGGGAAGATCACTCTCCTGGAGGGAGAATCCAGGTACACAGCATCTGGGGAAGACAGCAGCATGGTCACCGTGGTCCCTGACCCTCCGCCTCCCCTGACAGCCTGGTGCTACAAAAACGGCTTCCCAAGTTGGGCCCTCACTTTTCCTCCTTCATGTTACGGTGACAAACGTGATTGTTCCTGGACCTTATTCATTCATTTATTTATTAGGCTTTTGACTGGTGCATGTCAGTATACAGAATAACGAGATGTGCGGCGGTGCCCTGGCAGAGGCCCACCACATCTTTTGATAATTCTCATTCCCGTTACCCCCACTTCCCCATCACTAAAGACCACCTTCTAGTTCCCTGTCCTCTCTCCTCTGCCTTCATGGGCTCCTGGATGCTCAGCACTCGCTGGTCACCACGGGAAGGTAGGCATTGCCTGCGGGAATACCCTAGAGAACACTAAGAAATCAACTGCGGCTTTCAGTTAGTAACAGGGTGTAAACACCCATTCATTCACTGTGTGGTGCTGGGTGCCGTATTATGCATGCACTGTGCCACCGCACCTAATAAAGTGGGGCGTTAATAACGGGTGGGAAGAGCACAGGAACTCCCCGTCCTATTTCACAATTTTTCTATAAATCTAGAACTATTATTAAAAACAAAGCTTACTAAAGATCTGGCAGGGAAAATGGGGAAAGCATTAAATAGACACGCAGTCAAAGAACATTTAAGCAAATGACAAGATGTTCAAAATCATTAGGCATTATGGAAATGCAAATTAAACACCTGATAACCTAACTACTGCATGCTGTTAGCATGGCTAGCATTGAAAGACTCACCATACCAAGTGCTGGTGAGAATGTAGGGACACTGAACCTCTCATCTGATACTGGTGGGAATGTAAAATGTCACGTGACTTTGAGAACCCATTTGGCAGTTTCTTAAAAAGTCACACCTGTATTCTGGTGATGAACCCAGATGAACAGAAAATCCTGAGGAGCAAGGCACACACCCGTGTTCATGGCAGCATCAATCACAGTGGCCCCCAAGGTGAAAACAGACTGAGTGTCCACAGACAGATGAATGAAGAAAGAAAATACAGCATGTACACACAGCCTTAAACAGGAAGAGAAATGCTATCCCAGTCTACAGCATGGATGAGCTCGAGCACACCATGAGCAGCAGAGCATCAAACACTGTTTGCCTCTACTTCTGCAAGATGTCTCAAGTAGCCAAAGCTGCAGGACAGTGCTCTCTGGGCAGCACATACACTAAGATGGGAACCACACAAAGGTCAGCACGGTCCCTGCACAAGGGTGATGTGCATATCCATGAAGCAGTCCTTAGCAACCATGAAGAAGGAGAGATTTGACTCATTTGTAGGAAACTGGATGGTGCTTGTGGTATCCGGACAACTGGTGATCAGCTTGTAAAGCCCAGCTGGACGGAATCAGTGTGCCGCTGGGTGTGGAGGGCCCACCTGCGGACTGCTGCCCACAGCATGAAAAGGAGAAGTGGAGGAAGGAGTCGTGATGGCTCTCCTGCTGCTGTGGGGTCATCTGGAGGAGACTGTCGAGCTCCTTTCCTGATATGAATTCAGCCGTTCTCATCATCAGAGCTCGGGACCTCATTTTGTCACTGAGAAGGGCTGGGGTTCACTTTGGGGGAGCTCTGGTCCGTACTTTGAGCATCGCTTCCTCCAGAGGGGAAGATGTGTGCTGCTCAGTCTCCAGGAGAAGCTTGTCACGCTGGCTTCCTGGTATGAACTCGGCTGTTCTCATCAGAGGAGCTCAGGTCCTCGCTGTCGCTGAGGCTGTGGTACTTTTCGGGGGAGCCCTGGTCCTTACCGTAAGCATCACTTCCTGGCTGCAGTGCAAATCCCTCCGCCTGCTGGCTCAGCTCCTCCATCCCACTGGCGCAGACTTTCTAGCTTCCACTGCTAACCTTTGGATGTTCCCAGCACAGATCCTCGATGCAGACTTACATGAGACATTGTCGTGGGCTCTTGGCCTCCAGCTGGACTCGTGAGGGGCATTGCTATAGGTTCTAGGTCTTCAGCTGAACTTGTGCAGTGCATCGCCATGGGATCCAGGTCCTCAGCTGGGTTCTTTGGGTCAGTAATGTGTGGGCAGATCTCCTGCATGTTTTGGTATGTGGCTCTTTGGGTGACTGCTATAAAATCTCTGTCCTGTATTAAATTGTTTTCCTGCAAACCCCTGACTATCACACAGCTTCAGACCATCACGCTAAGTGACATAATAAGTCAGATACGGAAGGTTAAACGTCACGTGGTTTCTCTTCTATGAGAAACCCAAAGGATAATAATTTAAATAGCAAAATAAATGACAAATGCTAAGAAACACGGAAAGGGGCTTCAGTGGTGAAGGGGATCTGGGAATGGGGGAGACAGGGAGAGGACAGGGAAGTGAAGAGGATCAAGGAGCAGCGACTCTTTGCTAGGCATCATCGATATCTACAAGAAAATAATTAAATGGGAAAACCCTCGTGGAAACAGAGCAGAAGGCTGGTTACCAGCAGCAGGAAGAGGACACGTGGATTGCTGGGGCCAAAGTTCCAGGTCTGTGAGCTGAAAACATTCCCGAGTTCTGTTGCACAACTGTATGGACACAGCCAACACTACTGAGCTGCACACTCACAAGAGGTAAAGGCAGTCGTGTGCTGTCGTGGGTGCTGCTGTTGTTCATCACAATTAAAACACGCGTGTACGGAAGTAAACTATACATGCACCGCACGGTCCAGCTATTCTGCTGCTAGGCAGGAACCAAGGGTCTGCGTGAAGCCCCCGGCATCCGCTCTCAGCAGCCCTGTTCCTCGGGCCCGGGCCTGGCCGAGCCCACCCCGGAGCCCAGGCGAGGCCGCGGCACAGAGGAGCCGCCGCGGTGTCATGCAACCGAACGGGAGGCGAGAAAGGGACAGGTGGGAAGCCACCGATTCGGACAAACCTCAGGAAAACTATGCAGGGCCAAAGGATCAGATCAAAGCCTTTCACGCTGCAAGACTGCATTCACCCAGAGCTCGGCAGGACGCAAATTAATCCAGGGTGACAGGAAGCAGATGGGAGCTTGCTTGGAAATGAGGGGGCGATGGAAGGAACGCGGGGATGATGGATCACGCCTGTTGTGTGCGTGTGTGTGTGTGTGTGTGCGTGTGTGTGTGTGTGCGCGTGTGCATGTGTGAAAGGGAGACGGGGAGGAAGGGGGTGGGGACAGGGATGGGGGGGTCGTGGTCTCAGGAGGCCCAGCCTCCTACCAGCGCCTGCTCGCGGACCACGCCGCACACCTGCGTGGATTTCACCAACGCCAGCCAGTGGTGCCTCTCCGCTGGCGGGGGTGCTGCCTGGCAGCAGGAAATAATTAGGGTAACATCTTTCGGGGGGGGGGGGTGGTACAGCTTCCTACTCGAGGTGACCCCACCGGAAAGCAGTCAGGCTGCTGGCAGGCGGAGGTTAAGAACCCGGTCGGCGGGCACCAACCTTAGTTGCCCGGGTCCAGTTTGAGGCTCCTGCCCACAAGCGGGGCTAGAGGGAGATCCGCTCCCCGCACCCCTGGGAGGACTGCACTGGGGGCGCCCTGTGTGCAGGACTAATGCGCACGCTTGCAGTCAGGGGTTGGAGACCCCTCGGAGCCCAGTCCTGGCTAAGGTGCGTGCCCCTAGGGGGTGCAGGTGCGGTGAGAGACGGAGGAAGCTGAGGCCCATTTCCCACCCCCTCCCCAGGGCTTGAGAGCCTGGGGCAGGGAAGCAATCGCCTCCAAATCCAACTCTCAATCCCCCCTTTTTTTGGCAGTGCTGGTGATGGAACCCAGGGCTCTGCGCAAGCTCGAAGCAAACGCTCTATCCCTTAGCTACATCCCCAGCACCCCAAATCCAAGCTTCAGATCAGGAAATCTACATCCCAAACCCGCAGCACCCACCGCGCCTGATCCCCACGCTGGGGAGCCGCCTGTCTCCCCCTCCCCCGGCTCCACCCGTTCCTCTCAGGGCACAGTGCTTTGGACACTTGGGGCTCTGTTCACAGCTGCCACCTGCGTGGATGTGGAGGAGGTGGGTGGGGCTGTCACCAAGGTGGGGCAGGACACGCTGGCCCTGCTTAGAGGCCCTCAGGAGGGGCCCCCCTGAACTGCTGGTAAGATTTTGGATCTTTGCTCCTCTAATCCTCCAAGTAATGCTCTGAGGTGGATTCTGTTTTTAGGCCCCCTTTTACAGATGAGGAAACCGAGGCATCAGGAGACTAATCCCTACCCCAAACACCCGGCCACTGGGGGGAGAGGACCCAGAAAAAGGAAGGAAGACAGAATAAGGGGGCTGGCGAAAGCAGGAAGCAGTTCTAAAGAAGGAAAACAAAGAGCGAGTGTGTCCCAGGAGGAAAATTCTGGTCACCCTTTAACCTTATTTCCCGAGTGTTGCTGAAGCCACACACACAGACCGTTCTCAGAAGCATCCCTTGTAACAGAGAATATTCAGAGACTCAGGGGCATGATGAGATCTAGGGCAACTGTGATGGAATATTACAGAGCTGTGAAAAACCATACGGCAACAGGGCAAATCTTCAGAGACAGCACAAGGTAAGTGCACTTAGATCTAGGAGTCGCTTTGTCTGAAACTGTGTTCTGTCTAAGGAGCTAATTCTAAAGATGGAAAAGGCCAGGTATGGTGGCACCTGTCTGTAATCCCGGCACTTGGAAGGCTGAGGCAGGAGGATCGCCACAAGTTCTAGGTCAGCCTGGACTACGTAGCAAGACCCTGCCTCAAAAAAAAAAAAAAAAAAAAAAACCCACATAAATAAATGAGATGGAAAAGCTCTTTTCATTTCTCTTAAGAAAGATATTTGCCACGGGCTTCATGGAGCCGGAGTGTTTCATATGCGCCCTTGGGGTCATTCTGCCCTCATAAAGCCCAAAGGGGAGAGGACACAGATACAGGGATCCCCTTCCCAAACCTGCATGGGCCAAGGGCTCCTCTCTCTGATTGGTTGACTAATATGTCGCTCAAAGTCCTGCACAAATACAAACTACTCACATGGCTTTCTGGGAAAGACAATGAAATGGGAGGAAAATGAGATTCCGGGCTGAGATTTGAGCTGTGAATTTCCTCAGGACAGATTTAAATCCACGCATACGGCCACTGTTAGGCACTTGTCCCGGTTTCCAGAGGCCTGGCCCCCAAGTGTGAAGGACTCTGTCCTGAGCCTGTACGCCCCTCTTGGTTCCTCTCCCCACCCCCCTCCCCTGGAAGCCCCAGGCACTTACTCAGCCGCTTCAGGTAGTCGACCGCGTCCTCGTAGCCTCGGTAGTAGTAATTTTGTAGGATCTGGGGGTGCAGAAAACAACCAAGCTGGGTGACAGAGAGTGTCAGCCCCCTTCCCACCCAGAGCGCAGCTCTTGAACTGTATTTGATGGACTTCTCAAAATGTACCCGTCCAGGGTCCTATTGCTTGCTCGCTGCTGCGGACTGGGGAGCGATTCCTGATAAGATCCCAGTGATGCTGTGTTAGCTAACACCGAACATAGCGTGTTCCGTCCTCAGCACCCTCTGGGTGCTCATGGGAGAACTGGAGAAGATGCATTTGACTGTGGGAAGAATTTGGGGTCTGGGTTCAAATCCCAGTACTACTGCTTATGGGCTACATAGCTGTCCTACTCACAACCTCAGTTTCTTCATCTGTAAAATGGGGGCAGCAGTAGTACGTGCTCATGGGGTGCCAGAGGACCGCATTAGACTTTGCCCACAAAGCCTGCAGGCCGTATTTTGCTGCTGCCCTGTGTTGGTCCCTTGTCTGTTGAAACAGAAGCAGTTGGGTACCATTCCCGTTTGTGGTTCTGACATCAACCTGTTTTACAAATGGGAAACTGAGGCTGGGAGAGCTCAGGGGACTTGTTCGAGGTCACCTAGCTGGTGAGCAGCAAGGCCAGATCACCAGCCTAAGAGCAAGTGTCAGGGGTCACCGGAGGGGAGAAAACACCGATGGAATTCGATCCCTGCCATCTCCCCAGCAGCCCTGCCTCTCACCACCAGGTCCGGGGGTAGCAGGGCGTGGACCATGCGGGTGATGTTCTCCAAGGAGAACTGGAAGGAGTAGTTGAACATGCGGAAGTCGTTGAAGATGGCCGGACAGTCCCGGGGACAGATGTCCTGCTGCCCACTGAAGGTGGAGATGGTGATGGAGTCTGTCCAGAAGGCGCAGGGCTGCATGCTGGTGAAGCCCCCGTCGATGTACCTCTGGGGATGCAGGGCGAGGAGGGTCAGCAGCAGCCGGGGCTCACCCCACTCGGGGGCCTGGCAAGGGCCTGGAGGAACAGAACCTCCACCCCCTCCCAGACCTACCGGACCAGAACCCAGGTGATCTTATGAGACCCCGAGTGACTCAGGGACACATGAAAGATGGCCTTGAAGGTCCCCATCCCTTGAGATTCCAGGTCTCCACTTTCCAGGGTCATAGTTCATGCTCCGTGGAGCTTGGGGAAATCTGAGAAGCTGCGTAATAGGTTGGAGAGCCCAGAGAAGCTTGCCCAGGAGCCCCCACCTCGGGAATCCTGAGCAGAAAAATATTGAAACGTCCCAGCTCTAGGTCCTCACTGCACTTTGAGACCATCCCTCTGCTCGCCCAGACGTGGGTCCCAGGGCCCCTGAGGTGTCCCCAGCTCCCAGCTCACCCCAAAACACCAAGGTCACTCACCACGCCACGGTATGTTGGGGGGATGAAGCCACAGTACACGGGAACGAAGCAGCTGCAGTACAGGGCCTGGAGGACAACAGGATTGGGGGTCACTGGGGGGTCGTTTGCCACTGCTGCCCCACCCCACCATCCCGATGTCCTTCAGCCAAGGTGAAGCCGCCAGACTGGAGCCTCCAGTTCCATTTTTGGCCTGGTCCCAAGGAGCCCAGGAGCTTGGGAAGCTTCCTGGTCAAAAGGGACCTGATGCAAAGGAAGAGGTGGCCTCTGTGTCTTTAGGGGTCTCCGGATCCAGTGGGATTCAGTGGTCATTAATTGTGTCTGTCTTGGGCCAGGCCCTGGACCCAAAGAAGGGTGAGATGGCCACATTTGGGAATGCAGCGGGAATAAGGAGGTGACAGGGCTTTGATGGAAGTGAGCATGGGCACTAGGGGTGAGGGGGGAGGTGATGAGGGGAGCGTCCTGGCTGGGGGGCCTGGGGTTGCTCCCAGCAGGTGTGGTGCGGTAGACAGGCCGGAAGGAACCCCAGGCAGAGTGGGTGTGGCACAAAAGGGGTTCTAGTTTCTATCTAAAATGTCCAAGTCCTCCTGTATTTGGAAGGTGATCAAATCATGGGGTGATGTAGTCCTCAGTGGATTCACCCACTAGTGAGGGCAGCCTCTGAGTGTGCAGTGAGAAGGCGGGGCCTGGATGGGGGCGGGGTCTCCTGGAGGCGGGTCCCAGAGGGCGTGGCCTGGAGGACACGCCTCCTTCCCCCTCTCTGGCGCTCTCTACCTCCCCCCGCCCCCTGCAGTGGTGTGAGCTCTGTCCTGCCAGCCCCAGCCTTCCCGCCAAGAAGCCCACTGACTGGGCTGAAGCTTCTCTTCCTCCACTTTGTGGGTGTCGCGCATTGTGTCTCGCACAGGAAAGTGACTTAAGACAGAAGGTTTGGGCCTGCTGTGGGCTTGGTGAATTGCACTGGCCCCGCTGGACAGCGAGGTGAGATGGGGCTGGGGAGCCAAGGCGGTGGCCGTGGCCGTGGAGAGTGGGGCCTAACGACCTGGGGGGACATGGGGGGTCAGCACCGGTGCACCTCCAGCCCCAGGACCAGACCAGTGTGGGCGGTGTGGACAGAATGTTAAAGGCCCGCAGCTGGAGGAGGGGAAAAGTGGGATGGGCGGAAGAGCGGCAGCTTCACGAAGCCCTTGTTCTAGAAACAAACACATTGGGGCACCATCAGCTATGGATTGGTGACTTTATCTCTACGCATGAGCTGCGCTCGCAGGACAGCGCAAGGCCCACAGGGCGTGGATGTCTCCGCGCGATAACCATCTCTGTGATGACCGGATTATTTGGAGGGAGGACCTGGCACAAACTGGGAATCATTCAGGAGGGCCCGAGCTGCAGCCCAGGCTGGGAGGACCGTCGAGGCTCCTGGGGACCCTGCAAGCCACACCCAGGCCTCTGCGGGCAGCACTGAGGTGTGGAGAAAGGAGGGCTGCGGTGAGGGGGGTGCCCTCCCAGCGCCCCAGGATCCTTGCCTCGATGAGCTCTTCCTTGGACGTGAACTCGGACACCACCACGCTCTCGCCGTCCTCGAAGCGCGTGAGGCCCACGTGCAGCCGCCCCGTGGTGACCTTGTAGGAGTCCTCCGGCAGCGTGCGGTACAGAAACTCCCGCATCATCCGCACCATCCTGCAGGACGGCGAGAAGGGTCCCAGGAAGTACTTCTTCACCTCGGCCAGGCCCAAGTTCAGCATGCGCAGGTACTCTTCTGCGGGGGGGCAGAGTGGGGGCAGAGTGGGGGTGGTCACCACGGGCCAGGGCTCGGCAGCAGCTAAGGGGACTTCCCCATCTCATCCTGTGTCCTGAAGGTCTCAGGGAAGGACCTGCCACCTTGCACCTGAACACAGCCAGGCCCAGAAGGAGGAAGTCACTGTCTCGTGAGGGTCCACAGCTGGGCAACGGCTGAGCTGGACCCAGGTGTCCTAGTCCCTGACCGCGAGTTGCTACACGACAAAAACTTTCATACTGACAGCTAAAGGAACCATTTCTCACTCCAAAATAGCTTTCTCCAGCTTCTTGTCCCACCTGAGTATCTACTCCAGACTATATTCATTAGAGGTCTTCTGTGAGATTTCTATTAAAAATATGGATAGTGAATGCCTGTAATCCTAGCTCTTACGGGAGGCTGAGGCAGGAGGATTGCAAGCTTAAGCCCAGACTGGGTGACTGTCTCAAAATAAAAAATAAAAAAGGACTAGGGATACAGCTCAGTGCAAAGACCCTGTGTTCCATCCCCAGCACAGAAACAAATAGTTGAAAGACATTATCAAGCGACACCCTGGGAAATTGATTCAGTGACCAGGAGGCAGGTGAATTGTCTTTCCTGTGTGGCCCAAGATACAGGCTGGGAGGGAGGAGCCAGGTGCTGAGTCCCTTCCTCCACCCAGACCCAGGATCCCACCTGTGATGTGTGGGCTGTAAGCTCAGTGAGAAAAGCCTTATGCTAAATTCTCACAAGATGCGGTACAGTAGGCATTTATCACGGTACTTTCCTAGGATCACCTAGTTAGTAGATAGATTGAGGTTTACCCTGGAACCTGTAGAAGACCATCAGGGCAGCTTTCCTTGAATGCGGAACAATTACCCCCGAGTTAGCTAAACCCACCGCTGTCTCCGTGTACTGATAGGTACAGAGCTGGCTGGGCCATTTCCTTCCCCCTTCAGTTGGCTTAAGCAGTGTAACTAGGGCCGGCTGAAGTGGGGATGTGTGATCTCTGAAGCCAGTCACAGCTTTCTGTTTCCTCACTTCATGTCTGCCTGTAAATGGTTGAGCCCAGCAGAACAGCAGAGCCACATAGCACCAGGAATGTCAGCAGGGTTCGAGCCTCAAGATGAGAGGCTATGAGTCCCCAGGGCACAAAAGTTTACATATCAGACACTGACTCTGCAGCCTCCTAAACATTCAAATGCCCGATTGAGTGATGCAGGTTGGTCTTTGTGCGTTCCCTTCTCTCTGCAGAGGTGCTTTCTGGCCTCCTAGCTAAGCCTGGCTCACAGACGCCATTCTCGACTTTTTTTTTTTTTTTTTTTTTTTTTTAATCGGTACCGAGGATCGAACTCACGACTGCCTGCTTGCAGGGCAGGTTCTTATGCCGCTGAGCTAAATCCCCAGCCCCACAGACGCCATTCTCACCGTCACTCAGCCTCGAGAGCCTCTCCCTTCTGCATGAGTTAATAAATTCTGGCTGAGGCCCTGGGCCAAGGCCTTTGTCTAGTGAATCTTCACCCCAGTCAGAGTTAGGACCCCTTGGCTACCCGTAACTATGAATAGGTTTTAGTGTCTCTATTCTCACCGTGGGTTGTACTGGGGGTGGCAGATTGTGATGAACTTGCCAGGATTCCAATAATGTTTCCATGGGACCACAAATATAAACTTCCCAGACCGGAAGGAGGATGGGAAAATCTAAATACAATATTTGGATTACAATAGAAACCCACATTGCTTCTACAACACTTAAACTGCCTCCTGCTGATCGCTGCTAATTCCTGCCCTGAGCAGGCATCTTGGAAAAAGCAGAATGGAAGTAACTCTGAAAAGGACAGCTACATTTTGGAAGCAAATATATATATTTCTTGGTGGTGGGAGTTGAACTGTCTGCTTCATACATGCTAACCGTGGCTCTGCAACTGAGCTACAGCTCCAGCCCTTAAACAAATATTTGCTCATAAAGCATCCTACATGCATGAACTTTCTTCAGGAAGGCAGCGTCTTGAGGTAGTAATAGCTACTTGGGAGGCTGCGCAGTTGTGAGTTCTCTGTCTCTGGAGGTAACCAAGGAGAGATTGGACAAGTTCCTTTGTTAGCTTATTTGAGGATTCTATATGGGAAGGAAGGGTGCAGAGTCTTCCCACTATGTCTTGCAATATAAACAGTGTGATCAAAATATGCAGTGAATGTTTATATTTTAAAAATTACATAAAATTACGTTCTCTCCTCAAAATACTCCCCCTTGATTCAAATACATTTATCCCGTCTTTCCTGCCACTTTCTAAAGCTGTTCTGGAAGTCCTCTTTTGTGAGTGTCTTTATGAGGCGCGATAAAAGAACACAGCAATTGTGACTGACATGTGCCATGTAATGGAAAAGAAGCCTCCTCAAAACATGACACCAGGTCCTCACCCACCTTGTCCCCTGGATCCGGCACCATGTGGCTCCTCCCCAAAGTCAAAATGACTGCGAGATGACAATGTTTTGAATCAATTCAGGAAGCTGAGGCAGCCAGGACAGAGCAACTAAAGTTACTGAAGAGGGCTTTCAGGGCTCCTGTAGAAGGACATCATACCTAGGAAGCCATCAGCGTCTCTCTCCTATTCACAGAGCAGCCAGGGCACAGAGAGGTTAAGCAGTTCACCCCAAATCACACCCCGAGGTGAGGAGGAACCAAACCAGGACTACTCTCTTCACAGATTCTGGCAAGGGGCAAACGAGAGTGAAACGGAGGCAGAGTGAAGCTCAGTGCCTTCCCGAGCTCCCACAGCCAGGCAGCGGTTTTCCTCACTGGAAACCCTGCCCTTGAGAAATTTCCCCAAGTATCAGACCGAGCGGAGGAGGGAGAGATTGAGGGAGCCGGTTGCTATGGTGACGGCCTCCTCCACGCTGGCTCAGAATCTGACCTGCCTCTGTGTGGCAGGTTCCCACCTGCGTTAGGGACCATCTCAGCTGTCACCCTCTTCAGGAGAGGCACCCGGGAGGGGAGGCCCTGCGGTGTTAGGGCCCTGCCCAGGCCAGTACAGGCAGCATCTCACTCCAGGAGAGCAGCAGGCAGCTCTGGAGCAGGTTATGAATCAGCCGGGTGCTTGCATACCGGGGTATTGGGTCGTAGAGGTCTGACTTGTAGGACCGGTCGGCACAGGGAGAGGAGCCAGAATGGGGACTCGTTCTTTCTGGAATCCTTAATGAGCAGCCCGCAGCCCTGCAAAGGTCAATGACCTTCCCCTGCGGCTTCGCAGCGAGCCAGACTCCGGACTCCGTGTCTACACCGCCTGATCCCATGCAGACACCATCGGGATGGTGGGAGGAAATTTGTTCTTGTCACACAAAGCACGTATACTCTTTGTAGATAAAAATAGTTTTTAACAGTGAAGACAAGTGAAAAGGAAAGCCGTGTCTTGGAATTCCTCTTGCAGAGGTCAGCTCTGACTTCTTAGACGTCCATTCTGTTATCTTTGTTCTTATGTACAGGGACTCACACTACCCACATCAACTGCGCTTCTTTGTGGGCCTATTGTGCCTTCTCTCACCAAAAACCAATATGTATTCATAATGTCTTTTTTTTTTTTTGTCTTTTTGAGACAGGGTCTCCTGTGCAGTTCAGGCTGGCCTTGAGCTCATTGTGTAACCCAGGCTGGTCTTGAACTCGCAACAATCCTCCTGCCTCAGCCTCCCGAGTGCTGGGATTGCAGGAATGAGCCACCATGCCCGCCATAATGTAATTTTAAAAGAAGCCAGAGAAGCTGTTGTGCGGTTATATCGTTACTTATGTTGTCACTTTTTTTTTTCAATCGGGGATTGAACTCACGACCGCCTGCTTGCAGGCAGGTGCTTATGCCACTGAGCTAACTCCCCAGCCCCTATATCGTTACTTATGGAGAAGGTCCCCAGTCGGGTTTGCCTAAATTAGTTTATTTCTTTTGTTGTGGCTGTTTGCTTGCCTGCTTTCCTCAGTCCTGCCTATGACCTTAATTACTTCGTCTAGAATAAATTCCTCGGACTGGGAATGCCGGGTCAGAGGTATTTAAAACCTCTAATTCTTACTGTCCCTGGGGAGGATGGGGGACAGAGGAGGGGCCGGGACAGTGGAACGGAGTGAACTTGCACAGGGCTCTCTGGGCGTCATCCACATCCCCTCTGCAGTCCTGTGGCCAGGCTGGGTGGGGCGGGCTGTGTGATTTCTCCCCATCTGGTCCTTGGTTTAAAATTCTTTCTCATTGGTTCCTGGAACCGCAAACCGAAGGATGCTTCTGTCTCGGCCTCTTCTTGCTTCTGTTGTGTGTGTGTGTCTGTCTGTCTGTCTTCAGTCTGCCTGCCTGCCTGTCTGCCTCTCTTTCCTGTTCTCTCCTTTCCGGCCCTCTTTTCTCAGCCAAGGGGTCAAAACAAATCTCCATGAGTGTCAGCGTCAGGGCCAGGAGGCGGACACACTCACCTACTTCTGGACCCTTCTGGGTACTCCGCTGCACCATCTCTCATTCCAAGGTCTCCTACAGTGTGGGCCGCTGGCCCCGGGACACAGGGTGCCACCCTGATCCCAGCGAGGTGGCTCCAGGTCAGGAATCTAATCAGCAGGTCCCACCCCAGCCACAGAAGAGATTCTCTGAGGCCAGCACCGCGTGGTCCTCCCTGTCCTTCTTGACACCCTGTCGCCAGACGCTGCCTGTACAGATCCCTTCCGAAACCGTCCCTGTAGGCCAGCGCCCCTCTGCTCACGGAGCCTCCTGTGACCTTTGGTAAAAGCGCAGTGTTGGAGGCCACATCACCGCAGCGGGTGGACCAGCAAGAGAATGACCCCTGTTCATTTGTGTCCTCAGCTCAGTAGGTTGCATCATGCAAGAACTTCAGCAGACAGATAAGGCATTTTGATCTAGGACGAGGAGGTTTTGACAGTTACTTGAAGCCGTCGCTCCAAACCACTCGGGACTGTTCGTTCTTTTCCGCTGCTTGGGAAAACATCACCACGTATTGTCTGGGTTACCGCTGGTCAGTTCAGTAGC